ATTCGCATAAAAATAAGTTTCAATTCAATTAACTGGTTTCGTTCAAACATTGTTGTGCTAGCTGCATCCTGTTCCATGATCGATTTCGTTCAATGATAGCCTGGTTGTGAAACAAAAACGTTTTGTCATACGATCACAAAAAAAGAATTTAAATAAATTGGAATTCAAAGCAATCAGAGTTCACAGAAAAAACAAAGAAGGTAAATTCACATATCGATTAAGATATTGATTTCCAGTCAACAAAGTTTTAAGGTTTATGCACAGTCCATCAAAGAATCTCAGTTAGATTGTAAGATAATGATGACTAATGCATAATTGAGTAGTTAGACATGAGATATACATCATGTTTTGAGTTAGAATACACCAGATTCCTTAGCTTCAAATCATATAAATAATCAATTAAATACCCATCTCCATTATGACAAAAGAAATAAAAAAATAATGGTTTTATACCTAAAAGTGAAGAATCGTAGGCTTGACTATTCTAGTATTATGGAAAAATTCATAGTAGTTGCCACCATTCTGTTTCTGTTTTCATAGTTTCTGTATTGTTCAAGTCTTGTTTGTCTGTAAATTTCTCTTGTTACATTGTGCTTTTGTTAGTGCTAGCTGCTTGCTTTTAGCATTTTTTTTTAATTTTATTTGACCATTTAAATGTATCTGTACTATTCCTATTCCTACTAATGAATTAAATCAATGGAAAAAAAACAAGGAGAAGTCGATGGCAGTTTCTGTGTAATATTACATTTGATGACAACTTTATTATTATTTTTTAAACAATTAGAAGGTCCTATGAATTAAACATACAAACCTTTTTTTAACTTATCATTGATACATTATATGCACATGTATCCACAAATTATTTGGATCCATCTATTAACTTAAAAAAACATAAAATTGGTTATGTGTGATGAATAACATATTGTTTTATTTATATGATTAGCAGCAAGAAAGAATGGAGAAGGCCATGATGTTTGAAACCGAAGCAACTGATCAGGCTATAGAACCGTATATAAATAAAAATGTTGACACAAATGATTTCGTGGAAGAAACATATGAATCTAAAGAACATCAAGATTTCGATGTGAACATTGAATTTGACGAAGATGAAGATAATGTTGAAAAGATACTGGGAAAGGTTTTCGATATGCCTGACGAAGCATATACATTTTATAACGATTATTCCTTTTTACATGGTTTTGGTATACGTAAAGATGACACTGTTAAAAGCACAAGAACAATTGAGCCTTATCGGAAGTATTATGTATGCTGCAAAGAAGGTTTCAAACGGGTAGACAACAATGATTCAAGTGGAAATGAGAAAAAAATGTCGTAGAGATGTTAGAAATGGATGTCAAGCAAAGCTTCGAATTACAAGACATGAGGATGGAAAATGGTTGGTGGACTTATTTAATGACACACACAATCACGAATTAACCATGACACCAACGAAGGTGATCAAGCATCGATCTCATTGTAATTTCCACCGTTCAATAGAAGGTAAATCTCTTATGGTGCAATTTGGTCAAGCAGGGTTGAAACCTTCTCAGATTAAAAAGGCAGTTAATACAATGAAAACCTCAAATGTAGCTGATGTTACTTCAAAGCAATGTGTTGATGTCTTTTCTGAGCATCGAAAACAACATAGAGGAAAGGAGTTATATGGACTTATAAAACATTTTCAAGATAAAACATTAGTTGACAGTGACCAGTATTTTGTCGTGGATTTTTCTGATGATGGGTATCCTAAAAATATCTTTTGGGCTGATGGTAGATCAAGAGATGCCTATACAAAATTCAGAGATGTTGTTGTGTTTGATGTCACTTATATGACTAACAAATTCAAGATGCCCTTTGCTCCCTTTACTGGGGTGAATCATCATGGGCAGTCTATACTTTTTGGTGGAGCATTGCTTGAAAACGAAAAGGAAGAGACATTTGAATGGTTATTTGAACATTTCCTCAAATGTATGTTTGGCAAGTATCCGAAGGCAATTATTATCGATCAAGACAAAGCTATGGGCAACGCAATAAAAAAAGTGTTTCCAAATACTCGACATCGCTTTTGTTCATGGAATATCAGGAAGCATGAAACTGATCACCTTCGATCATATGTTTCCCGTTACAGTGATTTTCAAGAAACGCATAGAAAATGGGTAAATAGTGACACCATTGAACAATTTGAAGCAACATGGGAAGATATGCGTATTAAGTATGAACTGGAAAGCAATTGTTGGATTAGTGACATGTATAACCAACGTATACATTGGGCTAAACCCTTCTTGAGGGATATTTTCTTTGCTGGTATGACCACAACCGGACGAAGTGAGAGTATCAATTCATTTTTTTGATGGATTTGTCAACTCGAGGACCATGTTGAGTGAATTCGTTGTACAATACGACAAAGCAGTTGAGTCACGAACGGCTGCCGAAGAAGATGAAGACTTCAAGACTATGAACTCGAGGCCGGTTCTTTCTTCGGTGCATCCAATCGAAGCAAAAGCAGGTCAACGTTATACTAGAAAGATGTTTGATACTTTCAAAAAAGAATAGACCAAAGCTATTACCAATTTGACTCACGATACTCTAACAAAAACTACATAAGAAAGCACATATAGAGTTGGGCAATTGGACGTTGATAAAAAATATTGGCGTATTGTTACCTTTTGTTCTTTAAATCAAGTCAGCGTCACATGTTCTTTTTCTATGTATGAGACACATGGGATTTTATGCAAGCATAGCTTATACGTGATGAAGAAGAAGAATGTTCAAGAACTGTCGAGTCACTATATTTTACCGCGATGGACCCTTGATGCTAGGTACAAACTAGGTAGTGTTAGTATCGGACTTGGAGAAATTAATAATGAAAATGGAGTTAGTGCCAACACATTATTTTGTGTTCGTTCAAATTTTACTAAACTAATTGAATAATCAAGGGACTCCCCTTCGGAGATACAAAAGCTCAATACGATATTGATAAATCTTTTAGATGATCAAGCAAACCGAAAGAAATATGTGCTTTGGAGAATGCATCTCAAAGTTTTTGTATGTGAGTTTCACAAGAATATATGATGCCACAGTTATCTGTCCGTGATCCTCTTGGTTAAACTACTACAAAAGGGCGTCCTAAACTTGCAAGTAGAATCAAGTCTTCTTTGGAAGCCCCCAAAAAACGAACATGCTCTTACTGTCAAGGATTGGGTCATTATGCTACTAGTTGTTCAAAAAGAAAGGTAATTATATTAATAACTTAATTTTATTGATTGAGAACTCTAATAATTATATTAACACTTTTTTATTTTTATTTTCATGTATCAGACGGATGAATCGTTGCAAGAGACATAATGATGAGATGTGTTATTTCTATGAGCAAAAGAAAAACTAGATGCTTCTTGACATTTTTTTTGGTTAGCTACACCTTTTTCATGTTTAGACACAAACGGTGTATGAATAATCTAGAAGTTATTGATGCTTAACAATTTTAATGTTTTCGAATGAAATTTGTTGATTGTTTATGATTTGTGTGATTATAATTGAAATTTGGTTTCCACTATGTGTTTCAAACGAAAGTATGAGGGTATTTTGTGAAAAAAAAGAAAGTACGATGGTATTTTGTGAAAAAACTAAAGTATGAGGGTATTTTGTGAAAAAACGGAAGTACGATGGTATTTTGTGAAAAAACTAAAGTATGAGGGTATTTTGTGAAAAAATCGGAAGTACGATGGGATTTTGTGAAAAAACGAAAGTATGAGGGTATTTTTTGAAAAAAACAGAAGTACGACGGTATTTTGTGAAAAAACGAAAGTATGAGGGTATTTTATGAAAAAAACGGAAGTACGATGGTATTTTGTGAAAAAACGAAAGTATGAGGGTATTTTGTGAAAAAAAACGGAAGTACGATGGCATTTTGTGAAAAAACGAAAGTATGAGGGTATTTTGTGAAAAAAACAGAAGTACGTCGGTATTTTCTGAAAAAACAAAAGTATGAGGGTATTTTGTGAAAAAAACGGAAGTACGATGGTATTTTGTGAAAAAACGAAAGTATGAGGGTATTTTGTGAAAAAACAGAAGTACGATGGTATTTTGTGAAAAAACAAAAGTATGAGGGTATTTTGTGAAAAAAAACGGAAGTACGATGGTATTTTGTGAAAAAACGAAAGTATGAGGGTATTTTGTGAAAAAAAACAGAAGTACGGCGGTATTTTGTGAAAAAACGAAAGTATGAGGGTATTTTGTGAAAAAAACGGAAGTACGATGGTATTTTGTGAAAAAACGAAATTATGAGGGTATTTTGTGAAAAAAACGGAAGTACGATGGTATTTTGTGAAAAAATGAAAGTATGAGGGTATTTTGTGAAAAAACGGAAATACGATGATATTTTGTGAAAAAACGAAAGTATGATGGTATTTTGTGAAAAAAAACAGAAGTACGATGGTATTTTGTGAAAAAATGAAAGTATGAGGGTATTTTGTGAAAAAAAACGGAAGTACGATGGTATTTTGTGAAAAAAAAAAACAAAAGTACGATGGTATTTTGTGAAAAAACGAAAGTATGAGGGTATTTTGTGAAAAAAACAGAAGTACGATGGTATTTTGTGAAAAAACGAAAGTATGAGGGTATTTTGTGAAAAAAACAGAAGTACGATGGTATTTTGTGAAAAAACGAATTTATGAGGGTATTTTGTGAAAAAAACGGAAGTACGTTGGTATTTTGTGAAAAAACGAAAGTATGAGGGTATTTTATGGGTAAAACTAAAAGTATGCGACCATAATGGGTCAAAACTGAAAATACGTGTCAAAACGAAATTATGATGTTATTGTGGGTGAAAAACGAAAATATGATGCTATTGTGGGTGAAAAACAAAATTATGATGTTATTGTGGGTGAAAAACGAATATATGATGCTATTGTGGGTGAAAAACAAAATTATGATGCTATTGTGGATGCTATTGTGGGTGAAAAACAAAATTATGATGCTATTGTGGGTTAAAAACGAAATTATGGCGCTATTGTGGGCTAAAAACGAAAATATGATAAGTACATTGCTATTTTCGAATAAATAAGAAACGTAGGTTGCTATTTCAAGTCAATCCACCAAAAACAATACTATTTTCTATACACTTTCTGTCAACATATAAATTTCGTCTAAAAACTATAAAAATTGTGTCCTAACTAATAGATGATTACATCATCTAACACAATCTTCAGCTTCTTTGGTGTCTACGTGCAACCCAAGATCTTTCAATGGTAATCATCTGCATAAAATAAATTGGTATAAAGAATAAGGAATGGTTGTACAAAAGCGAAAATATGATCAACATTCCAAACCTTTAGTGTAATTTTCATTTTTTATCCATTCAACCTAATGCGAAAGCCCAAAGGAAAACACTTGATAAAGGTACTAACATTTATGGATTTCAAAAAAATGGTTAAAGAATACTGACATATATCTAACCGTGTAAATGATCTTCAAGTGATCCCGAAGTCAGAAACACATAAAATTGGAGGCGTTGATCTACATCTGCACAATAACCTATCAAATTTACAAGATTTGGGTGATGTAACAGGGTAAGCATAAGAACCTCCACCAAAAATAACAACAACAAACCATTCAACATTTAGGCATGCTATAATAAATAACAACAAACCATTCAATGCCAAGAGTTTTTCTCTTATGATTTGATGTGAAGCAACTTTTTTGGTGTTGACCAAAAGCTGACCTGCACTCAAATTACAAACATATAAATTAAAATTTGAATCATTAATTATTTATTTATTAAATTGTTAGGAAAAAAACAAGTGCTCACATGATAACAAAAATGAGGGACGGAAGGCTTGTGGTTTGAATTCGCTAGGAGAATAATCAAGCAGATTAACATTATGAGGTTTTTGGTATGAAGGTGTACATGATAAATAATAAATCCATTCAAAGGGTAGAGGGCACTTTAAAACAAAAAATGATGGGCTAATTGTAGCTTCAAGTATACAATTGGGTCAAAAGAACTTATTAGTCATGTTTCTTTGTGTCTGATAACAAATGATAATTGAACACCTGTTGGACATAAAAAAAATTGTGAACAACACATGGTATGTAACCACCAACCAGATACCGGATTCTATGAGTGAAATCAACACAGCTCAAAATCCAAGAAGGAATTGTATAAACCCAACATGGGTAAAATTGTAAATCTATACCCTTCACTAGTCGCTTGGCTACTAAAATTGATATTTATGTGAACAAAACTTCACTCAGGCATTTAAACAAACGCTTGCTGTACATTATCAACAAATTTATATCTGAAAAGAATAAAAGACAGAAATTACCAAAGAATTAACCTGGTATCGTTCACAAATTTCACTGTAATGAAATTACTATAAATCTACTTTAATTTTACCTAAGGCACATTCAGAACAAAAGGCACACCAAGAACAAACTGAAGAAGATGAAATAAAGAAGCCTCATCCTGTGACCTGATTAGCCAGAAAAACAAAAAGAAATCAAAGAAGATATAAGAACATACCTCGATTCTAAATAGGATTCGAAAATCCGTGCATAAACGAAATCAACGAAAATCGAATAAAATCAAGAAATCAAGAAAAATCGAAAATCAGTGCATACGAGAACTGAAGCCAAAATCACGAAGCCAAAATCACGCAATCTCTGGTGTAAATCGATAGTGAATAAGAAAAAAATCAAACGATGGAACCTTCAATGGTGAATCAACAAAAAAATCAAACGCTTGAACCTCAGTGTTATCAGGAAGGATTCGACACTTCTCATGTTTTAAGGAATCAGATTGGAACAAAAGTCAGATACGCAAATAACCAAAGGACTACGCAAATAACCCAACGACGTCTTTTTAAGCATCGGGTATGTAAGCTATATAGCCTCAAATTCACTTTTCCATATATATATATATATATATATATATATATATATATATATATATATATAATAAATCATCCCCTTTATTCTTTAACTTGTATGATTAAGATGTCTAAGGTCATAACTGAAATGATATAAAAGCAAATTTCTTTTTGGATTGTCCTCAAGAACTAGAAATAGCTAGAAACAACTTTAGGAGAGTGAGGAAATAGTTTGTTGATTTATTATTTGGTTAATAAATTAATTGGAAATGGTTTAGAATTAATTCGAATTTAGTTTTTTATTAATTATAATTAATTAAAGGCGTAAGGGTTGAACTGTATTTTTTTAATAGTTAAGTAAGGAAGTTAATTGTAGAACCCTCCTACCTTGGACAGTTTCTATTAGGTTCCAGAAGGGTTCTGGAAGCCTCTCATAGCTGATAAGGATAATCAATTTGAATAAGATAAATTTGGAATATTTAGTATTCAATTTGGGGTTTATCCTGGTGATCCACCTGCTATAAATAGAGACCCTAGACATCATATTTTTGGCCAAATCTCTTGATAAGAAGAATCTAAAAATTCTACTCCACCTTTCTCTCCCCTTTTCGTTTCTAGCATTCTAGGGTTTTGGGTGTGAGCTATTAGAGGTATCCACACTATTGGTGCTAGATTTCCAAGGAAGACTTGAGGATCAAGAAGTGTTATATACGATTATAACACAAGGTATACATTCCAATCCATGTGATTTTCGATTATACCTAGTTAGTTTATATTTTTCAGCGTATGTTGCTATTATGAGAAAAGGCATAGATCTCTACGTTACATGTGCCCATAAAAATATTTTTATGATTCTGCTGCATATTTTATTTGTTTTTCAACCTGGAAATCTCATCATTGGTATCATAGCATAGGGTTTTTTCTATAATATGCACATTGATGAAAAAGTGAAAAAATATGAAAAACTAGGTTTATACATACTTAATCAAAAATTGCTATCCTCCTAGGGTTTTCAATTTATTTTGACTATCTCTTGCCTTTGTCAAAAATTATAGATAATTACTAGGCCAACAAACCTGGGAGCAATCCAGTCATAATGAATGGGCTCGAGGGCAATCCAGTCATAAGTTGTGGGATCGGGGGCAATCCAATCATCTGAAGTACCTGAAAATATTTAAATTCACAACTGTAAGCCAAAACTTAGTAATTTCCCCTAAAATACCCCACACAACAACACATATTAAATACATGCACACCGGGCCCACAACATAAGACTGGATTGCCCCACCCAAACCCACATCTTATGACTGGATTGCGCACGAGCCCACAGCTTATGACTGGATTGCCCTCGAGCCTACACATTAAGAATAGATTGCTCCTGGATTTGTTGGCCTATAGCACAAAGCAATACTAACTCAACTCAACCACACTATGTCGATATATGCATCAAACAATAACAAGCAAGAACATGTAAACATAGCAGATCTACTAGTCTAACAGATCACTACTGTACATCAATATCCTACACATAAGGACACATACTACAATACAAAGTATAGTGAGAAAACCCACCTCACAGTCTAGCAGATAACAGTATAACATTCACAATCCGAAAACTGGTACTACTGGTCACCTAAACAACAATCAGCGACCAATCCTTAAACTACAACTCAAAACCCTCAAATTTCACTAGTACAAAAATGACTTACAGACACACCAAAAAAGTGTGACAATATGCGTATAGTGACATTTTTTTTTACTAAAAGTGTGACGGAAGGTGACGCCATCGTATGGGTCTTATGGTGACTTTAAAATGTAGTGTTCGTATGATATGAAAAAATGTGGCCGTATTATAAAAGTGTGGCAATTGTGTACGTAATTTTGTTCATTAAATCAATCATTTTATCTAATATTGTAGCGTTAAACCGTCAGTAGACACATTTATTTAGTAACTGTAGTGACTGTATATCACCAACTTGCGACATTCCTGTTGTTTTAGTGTGGTTGTTTTCTATTATATTGTCACACAGTTTAAATTTTATTAAGACTATTGTGTACCTTTTATAAACATGTAATTATGGTGAGCATGACCATGTTCGCTACATAGCCACATGTAATTAATTCCATAAATGGCGATTTGCTAATAATTAGTCACAAAAAACAATTAATTTTTGTGACTATTGTCTATCGTATAAAGACACACAATTAAGTGAAATACAATCATAAGTATTATAAAGACACACATTTTGTTAAAATTAAGGACTATTCGGTATCGTATTAAGACAATTGGGTATCTTTTAGAAACATATAATTACGGTGAACATGACCATGTTCGCTAAATGGACAAATGTAATTAATTTTGTAAGTGACGATTTGCTAGTATTTAGTCACAACAACAATCAATTATGGTATTTATTTGCCACATAAACAGTTTTTCATGTTATTATTGTTTAACTTAGTCACAAAAACTTTAGAAAAAACATCATCTTAAAACAACTGTAGACTCATAATTCTTGTATATTATGGCTATTGTTAACCATTTATCAACACGTTAAAAAAATGATGTAAAGTAACCATTGTATAATTTTAGAGACATTGAAAACCTATAAAACATGACCAAATTTATATTAAAGCCACAATAATTCAATTTTTATTGTTACTTTTTCTATATTGTAGATACATCAAAAGAATATATAAATGAAAGTAACCAAAACCGACAAAATGAAACAATATCAAAATTCAGAATTCGATATTATTAATAATTGAAATCCAAATCCATACATTAAATTTGTAATTAAAATACCAAAAAAATGAAAATTGTACTAATTGCAAGTATTAAAATATGATAAATAAAGCAAGAACATCATAAACCAAAAACTAGACATAACTAGGCATTCATCTTGTTGGTATTGTTCCTTGTCTTCATGAGAAAGCTATTGCTCGATATAAAAGTTTCCTTGCGCTTCATTGAGTTTTGAAGTTAATTTTCTTGAGGTGATTTTATATTTGATACCTATACCAACAACATTGAAACAAAATTGAATAAATAAAAAACATAATAGAGTAGTTTACGAAGGAAAAAAAACCATTAATGTATTTGAATGAATTTTTAAAAAATATCTGGAACACAAATCTCAGTAAAATGTTTAGCTTCCCTTCCATACAGATCCAAAAAAACTTCATTATAGGTTGGTGATATGTTTAGCTTCCCTTCCATAAGGATCATGGGCAACTTCATTATAGGTTGATGGTACTTTAACTATGGTGTCTGATTAACAATCAAACAACTCAGTTAGGGGAAAGTACAAATAATAGCAATATACTTTACTTTTGAGTTTTAATTACCAGTAAAGTTTTATCCACAATAGCATCGTACTTTCTAAGCATAAGGGTTTAAGAAAAAAAAATAGGAATAAGAAATGAAAATAAGATGTTATGTTTCACAACGAAATGAAATTTTATTGATATTTCTTTCATTAGGCCTCTAATTTGGCTAGATGCAAGAAAAAGCAAGGTACTCTCATTTTATTCTCTAGTATAATATCTTACTTTCATCTAATCTTCTTTTTGCAATAGTTCTCCGCCAGTGGTAGTGTAAATGAAAGATTGACTCTTGCAAAAACTTCAATGTTGGAATCTACAATAAGGTTGAAGGGATCACACATATAGTCAAAACAGCACACGTGAATTGCCAAAAGAAACCATCATATATATCAACACATTATCAAATAAAAAGCTATATAACCCCACCCGTTGTCATACCACGGACCCAGCTTCACAAAATTGTTATTCAAAGCATTTCCAACTTTTGTATCAAATATGCTCGACTTGTAAAATGTCACATAAAGTCTCTACTTATTCAATATATACAATAATGGTCTGTCAACTAAAAGGAATCTTGAAATAGGATCGGAAAAACAAAGGTTTGCCTGTTGTTGTCACCCTGTGGACACCACATCATCTTTAGTCTAACCCAAGATCCCATTCAACCTCCCTAATAACAAACCCAAAAAACAATATTACAACTTTACAACCATCATCTATCAAGAATTCAAGGTAAATCATACAATCAGATAAAGTTGCTTATTTGATAGCAACGTTGATCTAATAATAAGTGGTAGGTCATTGCGACCTAAAAGAGAAAACTGAGTTACACCTTTATCACTATAATGGGAGTTGAACATTAACTTTGAAGACCATTACGACCTAAAAGAGAATGTGTCTATGGATGGTGTTTCTTGCTTGGGAGGTGGTAACAAAGAACCGCATATAGGGTAAATCTAAGCATGTGTAACAACTAAGAGAATGAAAAGTTGCATTTTTTTACCAAGCAGCTTTTGAAACTAGATATCTATAGAACTTGATTGTAAATGTAAATTTTCATGACCGGAGGGTAGAATGGGTTTGTTTAGTGTCTGCAATAAAATAGAAGCAAAATAGGTAAGTGGAACAACCAAACGTGTTTTCAAAATTTTTCATTTTTATTTGAAAATTTTAATTGAAAACTGAAAAAAAAAATTACAACCAAATGCACCCTAAATAGTGAAACCCGTATCTAAAGTTTTTGACCCCTCACAATATTAACCATGTAACTAGAGCTACCATAAGCCGACCTAACCCAAACTCAACCCAAAATTTTTTAACCCATTTAATTAAATAGGTTGGGTAAGGGTTGATTTTTTTTATTGAAATCAACTTTATAACCCCTTTAATGTTTGATAACATTAAAATTACCAACAGAAACAAGGGAGTTGAAAACTTACTATGTTCCGACAATTCGATTGGTGTTTACTTCGGTTTGATCCACTCCAACAATCCTCGCCAGACCAAAATCAAAAATCTTAGGGTTCATATCAAAATCCAGCAAAATTTTGCTAACCTTCAGATCACGATGAATGATTCTTAATCTTGAATCTTTATGTAAATAAAGCACTCCTCTAGTAATCCCTCCTATGATTTTATATCATTTCGTCCAATCTAACTGCCCATGTTTGTTTGGATCTGTATTAAAAAAATTGGAGATTGTAACAAATTCATACAAAAAAGTTTAAAAATAAATCAAATTTGGTGTTTTGGCTTACTGAAGAGAAAGTAGTCGAGGCTTTTGTTGGATACGTATTCATAGATGAGTAATTTTTCATCCGAATCGAGGCAAAACCCTATAAGCCTCATGATATTTCGATGTTGAAGCTTTGCCCTTAAAATGACTTCATTTATGAACTCTTGTGAACCTTGTCTAGATGATTTTGATAGTCTCTTTACTACCAACTCCATCCCATTGTCTAAAACACCCTCCAATTATAATGTGATATTGTTAACTTTTTTTAGAAAATAGAAATAACCAAGCCAGAAGTTGGCTGGGCACAAAACTATCTACAAAGGAGTTAGAGCACTACACAGAGGAGCTAATTAACCAAGCATTCCACTCAATTTTATATTTCCTACACCTGCTACTAAACGAATTAAAAGCTACCGCATCCGTATGTGATCAAACACAACATAACAAATCCCCTTTTTGCCCTTAAAGAGAGCCTTGTTTCTAAGGTTCCAAATATCTGGTGGTTTTGAGTACATCAACAATCTGATCCGGATAGTCAAAAATAGTTGAAATAGTCAACTTTATCTATAATATGAAGCATTGTAGCTAGAGCTAAAACCGATGGTTGATAACCCACAGATCTTGAATATTGACTTCAAAGAAAACAAACAAAAACATGATGAATGGAATAAATAACTTTGTGATCTGATATGGATTTTGAATGTTTTTTGGTCAAAGTTAAAGAAAGATTTTACTTAGACCAATGGATTACCATAGAACAGGGACTCGATTTTCAAAGGAAAAAAAGAAGACAAAAAAACTACATATACGCATCTGGATCTCGATTTCAGCCTCAAACAATTCAAGAAAAAACTACATTTAGGGATCTAGAACTCGATTTTCAGATGAAAAGGAAAAGGAACCCTTACCTGCAGAAGCTGGCGGACGCGGATGCGTGAATGGAGAAATTGTCGGAGATAGAGGGGAAGCCGGCGACGGAGGCGGTGCAAATTAGATGGTGGCGACGACCAGAATTTGGAATTTGGAGATGGAGGAGAAACGAGTGGGAGGGAGAAAGAATCGAGGGCCTAAGATGCGTTTTTTAGGGCAATAAAAGACGGAGTGTGAGGGGGGATCGAGATAGGAACGAAGACGAAATCGAGAGAGGCGGCAAGGAGTTTTTTTTGGGGAAACCGGTAGGAATGAATGTTTTTATTTAAAAATTTGGAAAATTTTGAAAGATATAAAATTTAAAATATGAAGATCGAAATGGAGAATGGCGGCAACAGGTTTTTTTTAAGGAAAATGAATATTTTATTTTAAAAAGTTCAAAAAAACCAAAATAAAAGATTTCACATTTAAAAAAATAAAATAAAACATGTGGTCAAAAGTTAAGAAAGACAAATAAAGTTTAATAGTTAATAATTTTCATTATCTTTTATATAAAAAAAAAACTGAAGTTCTAATGAATTACTTTTAAAATTTTAAATATTTTAAAATTTGATTAATGATGGTAAACCAGAAATAACTCTAAAACAAATACTTAAGTGGGCGATACAGGGGTGAGATGGTGTGGGGGTATATGTGTTGACGTAAAATGGGTGGGTAGGTTCGAATATGGGTATGGTGTGACATCCTCTAATTTTTCGGCCAGAAAAGACCGATTTAATTTATGCTTTTTAAAATAAAATCAGAGAAATCTTTTCAAAAGATGTTGCGGAATTGGTCCCCAAACAACATATGAAAAAAATTTATCAAAACCTTTCTTTAAGAAATATATATTTCATTTCATATCAAAACCTCGGGATGTCATGTTCCGATACAGATCAAAAGCATAAACAAGACATTATAAGCCTTTCAACAGTTATTTACAACTACTGGCCTATAATCCAAAAATCTCTCATCGTCCTCCGACTATGCTCGGGGTCCACTACCTGTAACATAAAAAGCTGAGTGGGTCAGGCTTGGGAGCCTGGCGAGCATATAGGGTTTTCAACCCACAGTAATAATAAACTTATTAAGTTCACCTATCAACAATAACCCTGATTACCCGTTCCCGTTATCCTCACTTTACGTCCCTAAACACTTTTCACAAGGGACCTAGCCTAAAGAATATGATCGGGATGGACACTACTGCTAAGGGGTTTCCTCAGCCATACATGTCCTAAAGGCAACCATGAGGGGGATGGAGTACACAGCGAATAACACCCAAGTTCATTAACACCTACAGGTTGCGGGCCTGCTAGTGCTTCCCACTGGACTGTCTAGAAAGTCCGTGGTCGTCATCCAAACTCCGCTAGATGACTGAATCACAAATCACAACGAGGCCTCTCATCACTTTATTTCATCACACACCAACTATCTACCCATGTTCTACCCAACATATTTGTAGATAAAAATACTTATACAGTTTAAAACTTGTATAAAACATCAACTCAACAGTCACCTCAAATAAACAATTAATATATTTACACATAGCATGTATTATAAGGTAAATACTTCATATCTATGTATAAAATGAAAGTGACTATACACTCACCTGATTTAATGAAAATCGGGCAGCAATTTGTTTCCTAAAAACGATCGTTTCTAATAAAACCGGGAGTTTTATTCAGAAACCGGGCTCTGCGAGGGTCGGGCTTCGAAACCGAAAAGATAAATTTTTCGGGCTTCACGGGCACTTCGTGGCGTATTCCGGGGCTTATAATCGATACCGGGGCTTTGGGGTGAAAGATGGTGAAATCCCAAAAGTACCCGAGAAGGCTCGCAGGACCCTTTTATTTATAGGGGTCCGAAGTCGGTTCTGGTGGTGGGGTCTGCAGGCGAGGGTGCGCAGCACATGGCTCGCACATGGTCTGCACGTGCGAAGGGGCTGCTGGCCTCTTCTTACTGGACCGAGGTCTAGTCCGAAGTAGGGTGTGTCCGTGGCTTCATGCGAGGGCTCGGTCACGTGCAAGAGAGTATGTGTTGCACCGCTATTGGACCACTTCGGATCAGATCAGGTGCTCGGATGACTCAGCAGCTCGGACACGTGGCTCGTCTGACTCAACCATTTCGGACACGTGGCACGTTCTAAGCGAGGGTGACGTGGCAAATCGTGACTATGCGAATTTTCTCGGTTTTTGTGCAAAAACTTCTAAAATCCATAACTTTCGCATACGAGCTCCGTTTTTTACGTTCTTTATATGCACGCGTAGGTAAAATTACGCTCTACAACTTTCGTTTAGACTTCGTCGGCTAATTTTGACTTTAATTTTTATATTATTATTTTTAACAGACCGGGACAGGAAATCCGTTAAAAATTCATAACTTCTTCATCCGACGTCCGTTTTCGTCAGACTTTTTACCGTTATGCTACTAATGACGAGACCTTCGATTCTCGTTTAGGTCGTGTCGGCTAAAATCACTCGATCTAAAATTCGAGTTTTTAGCTGTCTACTGCTAAGCTGAAACTTCGAAAAATCATAACTTCCTCATACGAAGTCAGATTTGGGCGTTCTTTTTATACTTACTCTCGGTTTAACGAACACTACGAGTTTCGTTTAGATCACTAAGGCCAAAAAGTAGTTTTTCGAAAACTCACTTTTTACGACATTCGGCTCCGTGCCGGTTTGTCGCGAAAGTTCGACAAGTCATAACTTCTTCGTCATAACTCGGATTTTGGCATTCTTTATATATCCGTAATCCTTGTCACGCCCACTACAAGTTTCTTAATAGATATCGGCTTTATCTAAAATTTAATTTTTGACGCTCATTTTTATTCTTAATTAATTAAGCCCTAATAATTAAGCATAAAACACATAATTCACATAATTCCTTTTCATTTCTTCAAAATGAGTTACAAAGGTTAACCTAGACTATAATGTCAATATTAATGCCTAGCCTAGAAACACGGGCATTACAATTCTCTCCCCCTTAGGAGGATTCCGTCCCCGGAATCACACATCAGCAAACAAATGCGGGTAGCGACTCATCATGTCACTCTCCGTTTCCCAAGTGAGATTAGGCCCATTCGTATGTTTCCAACGCACAAGCACTAAATCGACCATCTTGCGTCTCAGCTTCTTAGTCTTACGGTCAACGATTGCCTTAGGTTCTTCGATCAACCTCTTGTTTTCATCCAACCTTAACTCAGAAATGGGAATTATGTCGGGCACATCTCCCGTGAACTTTCTCAAATAGCACACATGAAAGGTATTATGAATACCCTCCAGTTCTTCCGGTAATTCTAGCTTGTAAGCTTGATTCCCGATCCTCTGAAGAACTTTAAATGGTCCAATAAACCTTGGACTCAACTTTCCTCTTTTACCAAATCTTATAAGTCCCTTCCACGGCGAGACTTTAAGTAAAACCGAATCTCCAACATCGAAGGATATCGGTTGTCTTTTCTTGTCAGCATAACTCTTTTGTCGATCTTGAGCAGCTAACATCCTTTCCCTTATCACTTTTAACTTTTCAGCAGTCTGATGGACTATTTCATGTCCCATAAACTGCTTTTCCCCAGCTTCCAACCAGCATGATGGCGTTCGACACTTCTCCCCATACAAAGCGTGATAAGGTGTCATCTTGATGCTCGAGTGGAAACTATTATTATAGGAAAATTCTACTAGAGGTAAATGTTCATCCCAGTTACCTTGGAATTCTAGGGTACATGCTCTCAGCATATCCTCCAATATTTGAATCGTTCGTTCGCTCTGACCATCGGTTTGAGGATGGTAAGTTGTACTCAAACACAACTTGGTACCCAATTCCTCTTGTAGACTTCTCCAAAACCTTGAGGTAAAACGGCTGTCACGATCGGATACAATCGTTAACGGAACACCGTGTAGCCTCACAATTTCCTTCACGTAAGAACTCGCAAGTTTATCCATAGACCATTTCTCGTTAGCGGCTATGAAATGCGCACTCTTAGTGAAGCGATCCACGACCACCCAAATCATGTCGTGACCGTTCCTTGTCTTGGGCAGTTTAGTCACAAAATCCATGGTAATGTCCTCCCATTTACCCATGGGTACAGGTAAGGGTTCTAAACTCCCATACGGTTTCTGATGTTGTGCCTTAACCCTAGCACATGTTACACACTCGGCCACATACTTAACAACATCGAGCTTCATCGTCGGCCACCAGTAATAGGGTTTTAGATCCCTATACATTTTTCGTACTGCTGGGATGAATCGAGTAATTTCGACTAATAAGGCATTAACTAGTCTATCAACAGGCAAAGCTAGTTTTCTAC